GGGCTTTGGCGGCGGGGCGGGGGGGCGCCCAGCCGCTGCCACAGGCTCAGCAGATAGTGCACGCTGTTTGGGGCGAACTCCCAGTGCTGTGGGCGGGCAGAGCAGAGGGCGCGTTCCCACCTGCACGCAGCGGTCCGCGGCCCCACGCGGGTCCCAGAGCTGCTCTGCTCTGGCAACTAGCCAGTGAGCTCGGCAGAACTCTGGGAGTAAGCGCCCACTGGGAAGAGCTGCGCGAGGTCCTCGTGTAAACCTTAGCATAGGAGAACCGGCTGAAGTGGTTCTCAGATGTGACTACACCTGAGAGGGGGAGCTCGTCAGAAACGGAGAGGCGAGGCTCACCCGGGCCTGGTGAACTGGAAAGGCTGGAGCCAAGCACCCGTGTTTTCCAGCAACTCCTAGGTAATTCCGATGCAAGCCATAAAGTCGGAGACCAGGTCCCGCGCGACACAGCATGGGAGAGGGCACCAGGTCTCCTGTCCTTTCCGGTCCCACTCCCTGTGCCAACCTTGGCTTTTCTGGGTGATAATGAGGGGATTTTCTCTATCCCAAACACAAACGCCCTCCTCGCAGTTTCCACACAGTCCCATTCAGTACACGAGGCTGAACGCACTACAGCGGCAGCAACCCTCACATGGCCACTTGTGCCCAGGGCAGGCAGGGCGTTTTCTCAGCAGGCCACAGTCCCCCGGGGAAGAAGCTCCGCCGGGCAGGGGAAGGCAGAGCGGGCGGAGACCCACCTGCAGGCTGGTCACCGTGAAGTTGGCTATCAGTCGGATGACTTCAGGGTAGTTCTCCACCTTCACCAACTCTCCCAGCTGGTAGTTACTCTTCAACCTGGCCAGCAGTCTGCAAAACTCGTGGTAATTGTTGGGGTCTGACAAACTCTGCAACAGCATGGGGGGAGAGAGTCAAATGAGATTCGCCCACCTTCCAGAACAGTAAGGATCGGGGACGCCCAGGAGAAGGGGCCGCTCCACATCCAACTCCCGGGCTACAGGTCCCCGCTGACGGGACAGCTACATCATGTTTAGAAATGCGTTCCCAAAAGTCACTTCATAGAGAGACGGACACGTTCATTATCTCATCTGCTCAAGAGACCATCCTGCGAGATGGGATTAGTCCCGGCCGGCAGTACAAAACGGAAGCCCGGAGGGTCATGCTCTGCCTAAGGTCATACAGCCAATACTGCAGAACCAGCCCAAACCGGGACAGGACGGGCCCAGCGCGCCTCGCCAGTCAAAGGAAATTTAATACAGTTTGTACTTTTACGCTGTGAATTGACCGTCAAGCACAACTAAATGACAAGGGCAAGCTTACATGGGTGTTTCATATATTTATATTGTTAAAACAACGTGTTTGCATGGGTCTGTGTTATTTCACACTCGGTTTTCCACGTCTCAGTGTACTCAGTTACACACTTTCCCATACGTGTCTTCCTCCGCTAGCACGCATGCACGTATGCACGGAGGAGACTCTGTCTCACTCACTACCATATCCCTGGCACACAGGTGCTTGATACACCGTGTTGAACGACTAAATTAAAAAAAAAAAAAAAGGAATGGAATTGAGTACATTTAAAAAACAAACTTTTTATGCTTTCCCCTAGAGGGGTAAACTTTCCTGGTGCTTTGAAAAAGCAGTGTTGGCTGACAGGGACTAAAAAAAGACAAAAAGGGGGAACCAGCAGTTAGCGTAATGGCTATGTCGCTGGACTCCCACGTAGTCGACCGCGGTTCGCGACCCGGACCCGGTGGCTTAAACTCACGCTGGGTGCGTGTGCGTGCGTGCCCAAGGTCCCGAGGGGAGAATGGAGGAGAAGGGATTGCGGCGTGACCATCCCCCCTGGGGGGTGATTTCTCACTTTCTGTCTCTATGTTTCTCTCTGTCTGTCTGGCGAGCGCACGCGCCCCATAGTGAAAAAAAAAACCTCTCCAAAAAAAAAAAAAAAGACAAAAAGGGTGATCAAGTTGTGGGGTGAACATCTAAAAGAGACTACCCCCTCCCCACCTAAAGGCAGCCCTGTACACTTAGGTTACTAATATACATTTAAAACACGTAAAGGAAAATAAACTTTAGACTCCTAATTTCCGGGAAAAGAATTTCTACCCCCATCCCTACTTTCCTGTTTCATTGCCATCCCGTTGCTCAACGCCTGTGCCTCTGCAGCTGGAGGACACAAACCTTTAGGGCGACACTCCAGAACTCTCCGAGTAATAGACTCACATCATCTTCCGAAGAGCGGCCCACTGAACAGTTTCCCGGAATTTCTGCTCGCCGCGGCCTCTGGGGGGATTCTTTCTGACTTGGAACAGCAAAGCACACACCAACCCCGCACCTGAGAACTTGCCAGAAGCCTTACCTGTGGGTTTTCCAGTATTCGTTTAACTCCGTCGACGAGATGGGAGAGAAACTTGGCCCTCTCTGCGTTGTTAAACAGGGATCTTCTGACCGAGGCGATCTGTACTAAGCAGGATAATACCTACGAGCAGGCACAATGCACGCGCGGGTGATTACGGGGAAGGCGAGGCTATTCTCACCAGGCCTCCCCCACACACCATTCTTCTTCAGGTTATCAAACAGCCTTATTTGTAAAAGGACAAGGAAAAAAGTATTGAAGCCAAAGTTGATCATAACAACGACTTAAATTCACAATCTGGAAATTCCTTTAGGTATTATTCTTTGGCCACCCCAAAGTCTTCTTTGGTTTTTATTAAGATTTATGTTTAAAGCTTAAAAATATCATATAATTTATAGCTTAATAAAGCTTTAGACTTAGGTGCTTTCCCCGTTCTCAGAGGGCTTTTTGGCTCATGAGGCTCGGCCATGTAGAGTTCCGGGCCAGCCGGCGTGTGGGACACAGGTTGGAGCCCACACGGCTGCATGCGTGGTCCGAGTCCTGGGCTTTCTGGCCTGTGCGCCCCAAGCCCTGGAAGGAGAAGTGGAGAAGGGACTGCACACGGCCGCCCCCACGGCCAGGGCTTTCTCACTGTCCTGTCAATCTGCCTCTCTCTAGTGAGTGCATGTGCTTGTGCTCTCTGGCAAATTAAGAACAAACACACAAAACCAAATCTTATCTGTTCTAAGCAAATAAATAAGACCCAAAAATGGTGTTTATACTGAAAAGTCTCCCCTTTCCGGCCATGCTGTCTGCCCCTCCAGAACTACCTCTGTCCTGTCGGCCTTGCTTCCTGGGAGGCTGGCCTCTGGAGAACCCAGCCAAGCTCCTCACTCTGGTTCTGGTTGGCTTCAGCCACTGGCAAGTACCAGCAGGAGACGAGGGGCAGAGGAAAGCAGCCCCCCACCTCCGGCCAGGGTGTGAGGTGGCGTTCTCTCCTGACGGCCCCAGCTCTTACTGGGCAGCCCCCCACCCTCCCACAGCTTCAGCCTCTACAGTCTGCCTGCTGCCCCAGCACCTCGGGGCCCCCATGCTGCCAGCCCCAGGGGTGTGTATCGCCTCTACTTCCGGACTAATTCTGCTCACGCCTCTGCAAAGTCCTTTAACTAGGCATCCTTCTTTTGTTTTGATGTGTGGGGTCTATTACATTTTGCCAGGGTCTCACCATGCCGTGACCCTCCTGCCTAGCCTCCTCCATGCTGGGACTACATGCACGCGCCACCCTGTGTTTCAGGTGGGCTGGGAACAGCACCGGGCCCGCCGCGGGGCCTCGGCTGCCAGGCAGCAGTGCCCCACACGGCCTATCTCGCCCGAGCCTCAGGAAGTACCCCTTTCCCGGGTTACCTTTTCTTGCTGACTAATAATAAACACAACACTGAGTTCATTCTTCTGCTAACCGGAAGTCTGTATTAATATGGGAAAGTACCGTGATGAGCAGGAAAGCTCACTGCAGGAGTGCCACATACCCTGACCACCCTTCTCTGTGTTTCCTGGTGTACTTCGTGTTCAACAGTATTTTGGAGCAACGAACTGAAATGCCCGTCCAGTGGTATTTTAGAACCTGAATGAATGCACAGATTTGAAGGTAATGACAGCGCTACATGACATCAGGCTGTTCCTGACAGCTTGGCTGTCTCCTGAGGGTGTGCAAGTACCACCACTGACTACGCCTGAAGTGTTGAACAGCATTTGTACACTCAGGACCACCTTCGTGGTTGGCCTAGGTGGGCGGCAGGTGAGGCAAACTGAGGTACAGCGTGATGTCATCAGTGTGAGACCAGAAGGGCTCGACCATCTGTGGTGGCTGGCCACGACAGGAGCCACCGAGAGCTAGGAAGACTACTGCCAGGTCCTGTAAGCGCAAGCTTAACACCACCGGCTGGTGAACAACTCCAGTACCTCTGGGCTTCACCTCCACGGCTTTATAAAGCAAAGTGAACACAAGCCCACCTCCATTGCCACCTTCTAGAAACCGGTCTGCTTTGGCAACTGCGGTCTTGACTCACCAGAGGAGAAAATGAAGGAGGGATGGAATGATACAGGTCAAAAAACAGCTGCAGAGTGGAAGAGTCTAAGAATGCTGAAACAGAGAGAGGAGGCCATGTCATGAAGCACGTCTGTCCACGCACCATGGCCGCACACTTCCGGCCCGAACCCGAGGGACACGCCTGCCTGTCACCCTGCAGAGCACTCATTTCTTTAGAAAGCGACACACAAATAACGGATTTCTGCTTTCTTTAAAAAGAAATAGCTTTAGCTTTTCTAAGAAGCAGATTCATTCTTTTGATTCTTGAACTTAGACACCTTTCCAATAGCAAGAACTGAACACTTTTATCCTTAGCAAGACAAACATGAGCTCGAGTTCTTTGTTTAATTTTGTTTTTAAAGATCAATATACAGAGAACAGACATTTCTAGGCAATTATTATAAGAAGGTCAACTATATATCTACTATTAACCAGTAAATCAGAGTCCTATCCTGGGGGAATCTCCAGGGCCCCTCCAGTAACTTCTCCCCTACATTACAAAATACACGCTAAAGTCCTAAGGTTTCTTTCAGAGCACAAGAAGGGTTGCCAGAGCTTCAGTGCTCGCCTGCAGACCTGTGCGGAGCGGGGGCCTGCAGACCTGTGCGGAGCGGGGGCCCGCATTCCTGTGCGGAGCGGGGTGATACCTGATCTCCAGCTGGTTGGGATCTGCACGGTGCACAAGTCGTCCGAGGACTCGTCCGTGGACGTGCCGATGAAGTCGAAGTTCAGGCAGTTGTGAGTGAGTTTGAGCAGCTGCATGAGCAAGCCGTGCTGGCTCTCGTCATTCAAGTTCAGGTTTTTCCCCGAAGCCTGGAAGATTACCACACTGTGAGACACAAGCAATCCCTCTTCTCTTCCAAGCTCACTCCCAGACTCACCAGAAGGTTGTTAAGCCAGAAAAGAAGGTTTCATTTTAGCGCAATAAAGTGTATTTTCCCTTCAGCCACCTTTGTACAGCCGTGGAAACATATTTGCTATACACACGAAACTGGAACGTCTGCTCTTCACGTTTCAGACAGAATAGCCACGGGAATTCCGGGCTGGCACGGGCTTCGTGTATCACAGCTGATGTGCAATCCCAGTTATTCCGGCACAGGGCAGGCTCACTCTGGGGAGCTCGGGGGAAGTGTATGCCCCTGCCCTCGGACTCTTCGTACCACCACCATCACTGTCGTCAGCAGAAATCTTCCAGACCGGAGCTAAAGCCACCACTGAATTCGGCACTCTCTCCCTCAGCGCACCTGCAGGCCATAGCTCGTATGGGCCTAGCTATAGCGGACTCCGTGACCAGCCCCCGCTGGCTGGCTCACTATTTGTTTCTGATTTTACCAGCGAGGAACAGTCAATCCTTAGTTTTCTCAAAAGCTTTTCCCCCCTGGGGGTATGAGAGCTTTTGCCAGGTGGCTCGCCTAACCTGAGGACTGACTGGAAATTTTCAGGTAAAACTAACTGAGGAAAAAGATGGGCATCATGAATTGGGCCGATAGGAACAATCCAAACTTGTTTCTGAAACTACAATTGCAAAATACTGGAAAATAAAAACAGAAGTGAACAAGAAGAAAGAGGCTAACCTCAATTAGCTTCACACAGGGGCGAAACATGCCCCCGCCGCTGGAACTGAGGGGCCCAGGTTGGCACTCCCGCCGTGGCTGCACTCTACCAGTAAATGGAGTGAGACGCCTCTTTCGATGTTAAAACAGGTAATTTCCTTATGTGATACTGTCTACCCCTTCGGGTTATTAAATCGAAATGGATGTTAAAAATACAAATCCACTTCTCCTTGCAGATGTTGCTGTTTATCTGTCGCTCTGAGCTCAGCGGGGGGGCGGGCGCCAGCCGAGGGCGCGTCGCTGTCTGAGCCCGCTCCCGGAGCACTAAGAACCAAACGCTGCCGAGCTAACGCGCTCTCGCTCTCCTTGGGAAGATTTTATGTGGTTATAAACAAACTATACAATCTCAAACTCTCTAAACTAGATTCTTCAAGACAGGCATACGCGGTAAGTGTTCACCGACTCTCTTCACCTGGGGACAGACCTGGGACAGGCGATCCCAATCCTTTCTCTAACTTTAGTGGACAATCTGGCAAGTTTCTTCACCACCTCTGAGATGCACGTTGCGTGAGAGATGATATTTTTTCTGTTCTTCTTTTTTTCAAATTATTTTATTTTTTAAGGGAGATTTTTCCTATAGGGCACGTGCACTCGCCAGGAAGAGAGAGAGAAAGCAAGAAATCACCCCCCAGGGGGAAGGCCACACTACAATCCCTTCTCCATTCTCAACTTGGGATTTTGGGTGCACACACACATATGCATCCGGTGTGAGTTTTTAGCTGCCGGGTCCGGGACTTGAACATGGGGGTGACAATGCGAGTCCAGTGATGTAACCACTACACCATCTGCTGGTCCAGAGAGATGATTTTTTCGAACTTTTTTTCCCCTAGAGAGTGTGTACACTTGCCAGAGAGAGGGCGGTGGAGGAAGCGCCCCTCAGTGGGATGTGACCATGCGGCCATCCTTTCCTCTGTCTCTCCATCCTCCTGGAGCTTTGGGTATGCTCCCTGGGGCCAGGATTTGAACTGTGTGGTTGGCCAGGTGCGATCTGACTCCCCTAACCACTCGGCCACAGGGTTGGCCTGAGATGATGCTTAAAGAGATACATAAGCTCTCAGGAGTCAGTCAGGAGTCGACCTCAAACAAGTTCCCACCCGTTCTCTTGGTGACCCACCCTGCAATCTTACCTGTTTTAGTAGATTGCAGGAAAGCGTAAAGATATCAAAAAATACAAATCCTCTTCTCTTTGCAGATGTTGCTGTTTATCTGTCGCTCTGAGCTCAGCGGGGGGCGGGCGCCAGCCGAGGGCGCGTCGCTGTCTGAGCCCGCTCCCGGAGCACTAAGAACCAAACGCTGCCGAGCTAACGCGCTCTCGCTCTCCTTGGGAAGATTTTATGTGGTTATAAACAAACTATACAATCTCAAACTCTCTAAACTAGATTCTTCAAGACAGGCATACGCGGTAAGTGTTCACCGACTCTCTTCACCTGGGGACAGACCTGGGACAGGCGATCCCAATCCTTTCTCTAACTTTAGTGGACAATCTGGCAAGTTTCTTCACCACCTCTGAGATGCACGTTGCGTGAGAGATGATATTTTTTCTGTTCTTCTTTTTTTCAAATTATTTTATTTTTTAAGGGAGATTTTTCCTATAGGGCACGTGCACTCGCCAGGAAGAGAGAGAGAAAGCAAGAAATCACCCCCCAGGGGGAAGGCCACACTACAATCCCTTCTCCATTCTCAACTTGGGATTTTGGGTGCACACACACATATGCATCCGGTGTGAGTTTTTAGCTGCCGGGTCCGGGACTTGAACATGGGGGTGACAATGCGAGTCCAGTGATGTAACCACTACACCATCTGCTGGTCCAGAGAGATGATTTTTTCGAACTTTTTTTCCCCTAGAGAGTGTGTACACTTGCCAGAGAGAGGGCGGTGGAGGAAGCGCCCCTCAGTGGGATGTGACCATGCGGCCATCCTTTCCTCTGTCTCTCCATCCTCCTGGAGCTTTGGGTATGCTCCCTGGGGCCAGGATTTGAACTGTGTGGTTGGCCAGGTGCGATCTGACTCCCCTAACCACTCGGCCACAGGGTTGGCCTGAGATGATGCTTAAAGAGATACATAAGCTCTCAGGAGTCAGTCAGGAGTCGACCTCAAACAAGTTCCCACCCGTTCTCTTGGTGACCCACCCTGCAATCTTACCTGTTTTAGTAGATTGCAGGAAAGCGTAAAGATATCAAATAATGATGAATCTCGGAAAGAGGAGGCTATTTTCCTGTGCTTGGTTAAAGGATGGGTGGTGTCTGCCTGTGCAGAAAAAAATAAACCAATGCAAGTTTTAGAACTGAAAAAAAGGAATTTTAATGTAGACTTTAAATAAAGTAGAATTTCCAATAAAAGCAGCATAAATACATTGAAAATGTTTAACTTATTGTTAACCATATCTAATGAGGGAATGCAGGACAGTTAAGGTGGAAGAGCTAGCCAGGATAACACTTTTCTCTAGCTTACATAGGACAAACTAAAGGAGTATTTTTAATAATTACAGTTATTATTGTTTAGTTTACTATCGAGAGAGAGAGAGAGAGAGAGAGAGAGAGAGAACGCAAGCTGTCAGGTCTAGGACTCAAACTTCGGTCGGCCACATGGAAGCCTAGTGCCTCGACCACTACATCACCTGCTGGTCCCTCAAATTTGCTTTAGGACATGTGCACTTGTGTGTGAGAGAGAGAGAGAGGAAGAAGGAGGAGGAGGAGGAGGAGGAGGAGGAGGGAGGGAGGGAGGAAGTACCCCCCCCCAGGTGGGATGGTCACATTGTAATCCCTTCTCCATTCTCCTCTCAGGATCTTGGGTATGCACACACATACACCTAGTGTATTTTTCAAGCCGCTGAGCTTGGGACTTGAACTCTGTAGTTGGCCATGTGGGGGCCAGCAGTCTCAACTACCATATGGAGACTAGCCCTTTATGGTGATTATTTCTTATTGCCAGAGAGAGATCAAGTGAGTGTAACCCTGGTGGGGTGTAATCACAAGGCAATCGTTCTTCTCCCATCTTTTAGGATTTGGGGCACGCATGCACGTGTGCCTGGCATGTGTCCCACGCCACTGGGGCTGGGATGTGAATCCAGCCAGCTGTGTGGGCTCCAGCTCCCCATGTACGCAAGGCTTAAACACCGAGCTATGGACAGCTACTCTATTGCTATTTTTATTTCCTCTGTACTTAAGGATGCAAACAAGCTTAAATTGCTAATAATCACCATCAATGTTGTAATGTGGCTTATCTCAAACACAGTAGCAAGGTTTGATTTTGGAAAAGAAAAAAAAGAAGAAGAAAACAACTCAAGGCTGAAGTTCCTGCAGACTTTCCAAAACCATACTCAATGAACAGCCGTGGACTTCAGGTGAGCACCAGCCTGCAGCCTTCACCTCCTCTCCTACCTATGTCGACACGCAGTGTACTCCACAGCCATGGCAGCTTCATCTAAACGGCTGCCCGATCACTCAGGTAACCTCGGCTCTTGTCTCTTTAGCTCAGTTTTAAGTGTTTCTGGGACCAAGAACTAACTCGTTCCTCTTCAGTGTGCCCTCACTCCTGAGTACGTGGGACTGAGAAATTTGGAGGTTGCCTGGGGTCCTTTCAGTCTGACCACTTACTGGAAACGTAAAACTCCTCTATTTACTGATCAATTTATCCAAGAGGGGGCTCATTTTGCTTTTAACAAAATGTCTCCCCTGACTTTATTTCTAAATTCAAACAAGAAAGGAGACAGAAAAATACTTTCTGATTTAAATCGGACAGCCAGAAACAAGGAAAAATCAAAGTTATTTAGAGGTTCAAAATATTCCCAGTCTAGATCCGGCATCACAGAGCTGCCACGTTCTCTCCGGTAAAGGGGAATTGCTAGATGCGCGCTTCGCACCGCGTGTAGCCCGTTATGCTGGTCGCGGCACGTGAAGTCCATTAGGCACATGTTCATCGTTTCATTTAAAGACAAGTGGGATTCTGAAGGGTGTCATCACGCGGACACTCAGAGGGAGCCATTCGGCCTTAGTGCGTGCGCGCTCCAGCTGCGAGGGAAGCATGGCCAGAGGGCGGGGAGACTGAGGGCACACGCTCTGCAACGAGACGGCCCAGCTTCGAATTTGGGCACTGCTGCCGACACACAGCGACACTGCTGGCACGCCAGTCGGCCTCCGTGTGCCCCGCAGAGAACAGGGTCAAGCAGCAGTTATAGCGATCTTGTAGGACCGAGCGGAGGATTATGTTAGTGTAAGTAAATGCTTCGAAGAGCAGCCGACACAGTTTTCACCACAAAAGGTAGGCTATTATTATTTTGATAAAATACTGATCATGCTGAGGACTGCATGTGACAGAGAACCTGGCTCTAACAGCCACCAGCGGCTGCACGTGGGACAGCCCCGTCCTCAGTCACAAGTGCCCAGAGCTGACTGTGGTTTCTGCATAATTAGGAGCAATGGCGACAGTACTGCTAATGAAATCAACAGGTGACCTGAGGGTGAGATGACAGAAGGTTAGTAACTAGCCTGTGATCACTACGAAGTTTTAGCTGCAGACAAAAGTAAATGATTGGGGAAAAAAGCTGGAGCCAAAGAAAGCCACTGGTGTTTCCTCTGTAGCACTGGTGACATGAAGGAGCCTGAAAACATCAGTGCGTGTTCAGCTGAGAGCTCCACACGCTCTGAAAAGATTGCCGGCTGAATCTCCAGGTGGCACTCGGGAACTCGGGAACGGACTTGTGAACGCCAGGACACGGCCATGTGGGCAGGAGCAGACGGGCCGCGCGGAGGATGCGGGCTCCGTTTTTATAATTGCTCTGGGCCCATTTGTTTTTATTAGCAAGGCTCATCTTTCATGATTGGGACCATGGCTATCATCTCTAAACCGAGCAGGGTCACCAGTAAGGAAGGCTGAGATGGGAGGGTAGAATGTTCTGGGGACAGGAGGAGCCCAGGACGAGGACTGAGCTAGCTTGCACTTACAGAGGAAAGCCAAATGGAAACGTTCTGTTTCCAAAGGGCATCAATCACTTACCACGAAAGCACACAACTGCCAAAAGAGCTCACCCCACACACAGCAGGAGACACCAATGCGAAGAGTAAACATGGCACTTACTTCAGTGAGGAAGACGGGGGCACTTACTTGATTAATTTCATTGGTTAGCTGGGATAAAATTGTGACCCCAATGATGCAGTATTCCACACTGTCCTGGGGAGAAAAAGTAAGGCAGAAGGTATTGGCATGTGCACTGGATCCTGGAGTCGGAGGGCACCTGTGTGCCCCAGGCAGAATCTGGTCACGCGCGGATCTGCCTGTTAAAACCGGTACTCTGCGGGACCAAAGCCTCACTGCCGTACGGGAAGACTGATAAACCCCACTTCACCAAAATTCAAAACTTTCGTTTTTAAAAATTCCCACAAGCAGTTTAGCACACACAATATATAAAAAGATAAACTGATAAACTGCAAAACACATATTAAAGTAAATGACAAACAATACAATTTACAGAGGCTGCATAAAACATAAGAAAAAGCAAAGAATCTGAAGCAAAAATTACATATATACACATGCACGTGCGCACACAGGAAATCCATAGAAAAATAAATATAAACAGCAAGTTAGACATGAAAATTTGCTTAGTCTCACGCATAACCCAGAGAATGAGATACCAACTTTATTTCCCTATTAAATTGGAAAAATAAGGGGCCAGCAGATAGTGTTGTGTTTAAAATAATGGACTCCCACATGGTCGACTGCAGTTCAAGTCCGGTACCTGGAGGCTTGAAACTCATGCCAGGTGTGTGTGTGTGTGCGTGCGCCCAAATCCCAAGAGGAGGATGCAGTAGAAGAGCCGGCGGCATAGCCATCCCTGCTGGGGGGCTGATGGAGTAGAAGAGCCGGCGGCATAGCCATCCTTCTCCGTCTCCCTCACTCTGTCTCTCCCTGGTGAGTGCACACACTATGGCAAAAATCTTAAAAAAAAAAAAAAAAAAAAGAAGAAAATAAAATTCAGCTTTCAGAGCTGAGAAACTGGAAAGTAGGCATTCAGTAGAACTGTCAGTGTCAGTGTAAATAAGGCAAAACTTTTTTTTTTTTTTTTGAGAGGTTTTCACTATAAGGTGCGTACGCTCGCCAAACAGAGAGAGACAGATAGACGGAAAGCGAGAAATCACCCCCCGGGAGATGGTCACGCCGCAATCCCTTCTCCTCTTTTCTCCTCTCGGGATCTTGGGCACACACGCACATGTGCCCAGTGTGAGTTTAAACCACCAGGTCCGGGACTCGAATCACGGTCGACTACGTGGGAGTTCAGTGAAATAGCCATTACGCCAACTGCTGGTCCCAATAAGACAAAACTTTTTTGAGGGTAATTTGGAACTATCTTTGAAAGTCAAAAGCATACATGTCCCTTTGAGTCATCCTAGACTAGGCGTTCACCCTATAGACACAGTCTAAGTGTGACAGGGTCCTGTCCTGGGACCGTGACCGAAGCACTTATTTAACAGCCACGCAAGGGAAACACCTGCAGATTACAGCGCGTCAGCTTGGACGCAGACGTGGACACGCGGAAGGAGGCGGCTGGGCCGGTCTGTGCAGACACGTAGGCATGGGTGGGTAAAAGAGGCAGAAGGGACTAACCGAGGAATTCCATCTCGTGTAATTTTTAAAAAGGAGGAGGGCTATATTCAAGGGATCCTCACGGAGTTCATGGAAGTGCATATTATGATAAAAACCTCTACTGAGGGTCCAGCAGTGGCGCAGTGGTCAGGGCAGCTGACCCCCGCATGGCTGACTGCGGTCTGAGTTCCGGACCTGCGTGCACATGTGCGTGCCCAAAATCCCGAGAGGAGAATGGAGGAGAGGGACTGGGCGTGCTCATTCCCTGGGGGTGATTTCTCAGCTCTCTCTCTGCCATGAGGACACGTGCCCTAGAGCAAAGCCTCTCTCTAAAGCACACACACAACACCCAAAGTACTGACTGCAAAAACTTGTATGCCAAAACAAACCCACATTTTCATTTTCTTTTCCCCCAAACATGCAGCCCCCCACACGTGTGTTGTGCCTCCTCTCCCTACTTGGAAAATACATACGTGGTACCTGTAAAAACCTTGTGACGTCTGTGATGGCATTTCTGAACACATAGTCGTCCTTCTGGCAGTCGAACCAGCCCAGCTTGGTGATCCTGGCGTACAACTGAATGAGCGCCTGGGTCACAAAGGTGGCCAGCTTGGGCCGCGTGGCAAGGTAGTTGAGCACATAGTTCCCTAGAAAACAAAGCGATCCCGTCACCTCAGCACTGCCAGGGAGGGTACGTCAAACACACGAGCCGGCCGAGAATAGGACGTTACATTATTCACCCTACAAGCTCTTCCTTCCTTGCACAACTGAGAACGGGACCTCCGACTTAGGACGGTGGGCTCTCATTCAGGGCTTCGCATTCGGAAAGGCTAAGTGAGAGACGTCTCCTGACAACGAACGGGGTGACAGGGCTTTATCCTTACACATCTGGCCTTTTCTCCTTCAGGAGCCCCAAATTCTGTTTTCTACATATCCTGTCTGCTGAGCAATTTTAGCACATTACCCGAGAGGTGCCCAGACTGGAGTGTCACTGGCAAACCACTGAACCAACTTCTCCGGACAGACCGACAAGCCCCTACTCACGGATGTCCACTCGCTGCTCCAGCGGCAGGGGGTTGTTCGTGCGCGACACGAGCTTCGTAAGGCATGTGGCTGCCAGTAGCTGGGAGTAGGACGACTGCGGAGAGAGGGCCGAGTCAGCACTGCGGGCAGCCCGGGGGCTCCCCTGGAGAGCTGTGCCCAGACCCGAGGCAAGATCTTGGGTGTTGCCATGGCCGACCCTCCAGACTACAACCATCACTCCAAGGACCAGAAGTCCAACATGGCGTCCACGGTTCAGTGAACTTCAGTCAGGAACGTGGGGCAGGAGGAAGTGACAACCTGATCGTGCTTAACCTGACACAGGCGTGCCACTCGCTGCCGGGATGGACACAAGAGGGCTTTTATTTAAACCAAGAAACCTTCTTCCTGCAAGGTCGTGGTTATAGTGACGCTTCAAAAAAGTGCGACCTCCAAATGCCACACAGCACGGTGTTAGGGACAGAAGGAGTCAGCGGGGGCCACCTTGGCACGCCGTGGAGTCCACGCCCACGTCGCGTCCTTCCTCAGCACAGCACCAGGCAGCCAGAGCGCTGGGCAACGGCCACGTGGCGTTCACCCTGACCAAGACGCAGCACGCGAGATCTGACCAGAGTGCGTGAAAGGAGCCACGTGGGACACTGCACAACGCCACACACAGGCACAGATCAAAACCACTAGAAATAATTTAACCGAGGGTGAGGGACAATCCTCCAGAAAACCAACAGTCCCTGGGCCAGTAGGCAACCCTACCACTAGGTATAAAGAAAATGGAAGATCAAAAAAAATCCATAAAAGTGACTTTCATGTGATTTTAAAAAGTTTACTCCTATGAGAAAGAGAAAAGAGAAGAGGGAGGGCGAGACAGAGACAGCGACACCCCGACGGGGCCCCTACCCTGAGACTCACCCCGATTTCAGCCAGCCAGAGCCGTGACAGGCACAGGGTCTCGGTTTATAACATGACTGTTATTCAACCACTGAACGTGGTTTAGACGCCTAGTTAAAGCAGGTGCGTCAAATCACCAATAAGGCAAGGCAGACTGCGTTTAACTTTACATTTTATATAATTTGTAAACAGTTTTTACACATAATTCCGATGAATCTGTTAAGTCACTAATTAAAATGTGATAATTAAACTTTTTTTTTTTTGAGAGGTTTTTCACTATAGGGCACGTGCGCTCGCCAGACAGACAGAGACAGAGAGACAGAAAGTGAGAAATCATCCCCCAGAGGGGATGGCCACGCCACAATCCGTTCTCCTCCATTCTCCTCTTGGGATCTT